ATGTCAGGTTGCTTCTCCTAAATCAGCCCTTCCCAGAGCTGTACAAGCTGGCAATCTGTCCTGGGACTTCAGGATCTCAGTCCTGGCTCCATCGCAAGTATCTAGGAACCCCTGTACACTAGCTAGAATCATGGTCTCGTGAGGTTTCCACCTCTGTGGTTAAGTATTGAAACCAGATTAAAACTGGATCTTCCAGGGCTCATCTCATACTTCCTTACCATGTGCTTCCTTGGTTGTTTCAGCCAACATGTTCAGTGAAAGGGGAGGTGGAATGTAATGAATCCCTGGCAGAAAACTTGGTGCGATGAACTGAGGCAGAGGAGTGTAGTATCCTTGATGGAAATCTCCACCTCCATCTGGAATCTGTGGAAACACATGAAGCAAATAATCTTCCATCTACAGACTCTCTTCAGGATACATCTGCAGTATCAAACAACTTCTGTTTCAATTCCTACCTGTGAATATTACATTTTTTGTCCATTTTGTGGACATATGCTGCAAAGCCTGTGCATAGTGTAATGTGCTGAAACTGTGAAGTAGCCGCTTCTCAGACCATGTCTCAGCTAAAATTGATTTTCTAAGTCCTTGTCACCTGTTCTGGCATCTCATTAGAGCAGCTGGTCTAAACCAGGATCAGCTCACCTTCACCACTGACCCAGTGCACCTGCCACTGACCCAGATGGAAGTCTTCATGCAACAGAGAGGCAACTGAGGGGAATGCTCCTTGCCACCACTTCCCTGCTAGTTATCAATTCTCCCCTGAGCCCAGTGAAGTGAGTGGCTCTACTTACACTGAGGGGCTGGTGTGCACCACAGGGTGCCCCACAGCCCTCGTCTTCTGTGATCACCAGACCTGTTAGAGCATAATAAAACTCACTGCGTGTGCAAGGAGATATTTCCATCCCTCAGAAACACTAGCATCAGAGAAATAGTAGCATTTTTCTCTTGGATTTGGCCACGCACCCTGGTACAGATAAAAGTTGTATGAGATCCTTCCATCTGTTTCAGGACAGTTAAAAATTAAGTTCAAACCCACACACAGTGACGGTCTAGACAAGGCATTTCCCAACCTGTGTATATCCAGCCCACCAGGATAATTTATCTGGACCTCAGACTGCTGCTAGCCACCTTCTTTCTCAATAACCCCTAAAATGTGACAGGGAATTTCTATGCAAGCATAATAAATCTAGTAGTCTTGAGGCAGATCACTCTACCTTAACATGAACTGATGAATTGTACTCAATGCAGACAGATGACGTATGGCAGCTGGAGCTCTGATAATGTGCCCAACTGTGGTACAAAAACTGGACACCACCAGTTTAAACCAACATGACTGACAGCACTGAAAGGAACTGGAAGTGCCCACACACACCATTACAACTGACAGGCAATTTAACATCTTGTTTCTTACCATATCTGTGTGGTTTGAAGGTGTGAGACCTACGATGCTAAACATTTTTCATCTGAAACTTCTGTTAACCACAACAATTTTCCACTGTTTTTGAGAAATTAAATGTCTCAAACCAGAAATACCTGACCATGCTGATTCGCTTCCTTGTGGAAGCTGATTTTCGCTGCATTCTTCTCTGCAGCTCTGGTGCCTTGGCCAAGCCCTGACGCTCTCCCTCCCCATTAGATTTGTCCTGCATGGGAAGAAGAGGAACCTCCCAATGTGCAATCTGTGCGATCTACGCTGGCACAACATGACCATTTTAAGTGTCCAACTGCCATAATTCCAAAAGGCTGTTGCAAATGCTAGTAGAATGTATGAGCCCCAAAACACTTCACAATATCCGTTCCCTTGCAAGTGCATAGGTTTGGTCTTCTGGGTTCAGGACAGACTATTAATTAACGTCACCATTTGCTCATGTTTTCTTCACCATAATATACCAAAATTCTGTGAAATAACTGATAAGCAGGATAACTTTTCATGGGTACTTTAACAGCAAGAAGGCAGCTAAAAGTAAAGACAGCAATATTTCTAGGGGCAATTAAAAGACTGTTACTTACGGAGACAGAAGCTGCATTCCCTCGCCCATAGTTGCCAGGAATGTGTCGGAAACCTCTCTGAAGTGACATCCCTGGAGGTGATGGTGCTCCCCTACAGCTTGACTGATTGATGGCAAATCCCATGGGAAATGGATGGTAAGGATATACCCCAGAACACCCAGGGTACACTTTCGGAGGTTCTCTCTCCAGGTATTCTGGGTTGACCATGTATTCTGGAGGCAAAGCAGGGTGAGCTAGGAAACAGTAAGAACAAATAAAAGTATCCATGTAATTCTATGGAGTTCAGTAGAAGTAGCTGCAGGACCAAATTCCACTTTCAGGCTGGTCAATCTCGCCCTTTGGTTTCCTGCTTAGCACCTCAAGAATTTACTTCATGATTTTTTAAGGAACTAAGGAAAGATGCAGCAGATGATACTGTAACACAGAATGATCTGCGTTCTTTTCTGCCTTGTGAATTATGAAGCTAGTCCTTAGTAAAGCACTGGCTGCAGAGTCTTATTCTTTCAGTACATCAGCAACAGCAAAACAACCTACCTTAAGACTTTTAATTCTAGCAGAACTTGGAACAAATAGAAACCATACAGTTCTAACTTTAGTCCTATCTGTCACCTCCTATGTTAATTTACAAAGGCTCAATTTTAGGGAAATACACCAGCAATTTCAGATGCAGGAATCAGTTACTTCCTTTGGTTTTTATCTTGCATCTGAAATCTTATATGGCCCCTCTGAAATCCTAAAAAAGAGAGTGGTTATTTGAATACGAATAGGGTCTTTCTTGTCCGCACATCCTCCTGTTGGTAGGCAAGTGGAAGAACTTGATTTGAGAGTAGGTTGACTTCTGGAGTACTAGAATTATACTATTTGTCCCTAACCTTTTTTGAAATTGGTCAGCAGGTCAAAAATGTTATTAAGGGAAGGACTGACAGGCAGATGTGCAGCTAGCGTCATCCATAAACATAATTTTCTTAGGAAACAAAGCTAAAAAAAAGGGGAACAGTTATTGACAGATTAGGTGGGAACTAGAGATGTCTGAAATGAGTCTCTCCTCTGAGCTTTTCAAAACAGCATTTTATCTTGCAGGCTGCCAACTCTCCAGAGGCTCAGACTAATGACTACTACAGTCAGTAGGGATTTCCGTAAAATTACTATAATAAATAGTAATAGTATGAAGTTACTGTAATAAATAGTAATAAACTAGACAAGTCACATGAAAGACTCTATTAAAGGAAGCAATTTAAGAGGTGACAGACCATACAATTTTTCCACCTGCAAAATCTAGGCTCTGCTCTTAAATACCAAATGCACTTTTACACCAAGTGATCCCAGCCAAATGCAGTCTTTGCTACAGGAATTAAGGCCAAGAGGTCTCTTCCTTTTACAGTGCTATCATAAAACGCTTGCTTCAGGCAACTGCAGCAGTAACTTCCCCATCTACCTGCCATCACTGAGTTTTTTAGCTTTTTGCAGGCTTGTGCCTGTGAATTTATAAACAGTGAGACAGCACTCAGAGAAACATCCACAAGCACCTGCAGTGCACAGTGGATCAGAATTTGGTTTCCCTCCCAGACTAATTTCCCTCTCAAAGGCCACTTCAACTTTGCAATGAGCTGCAAGCCTGAGCACATTGCTCCTGCCGCTGCAGAGCCGTGTGACCTGTGTTGCAGACCCTGCAAAAGGGAAAAGAAATGCAGGATTGCACATTCAACATGCAAGCAGAGTACCTGTGTCCACTGAGGAAGAAAAGGACAGACAGCAGG